CCTTCAGCACCTCTCATAAGCAGAATATAATTAAAAGGTCAAAGCTGAGGTGGAGGTGAGGTGGTGTGCAGTATTATTTTATTTCTTGAGCAGTCTCAGGGTCAGAGAATACATAAAAAGACCCATCTTCAGCAGAAAGGCGGTCCATCTTCCTCCTCTAAAACTGTTAGAGAAGTCATCCTCTTAAACACACCTACACACATAAATGTTAAAACTCAAATGCACACTCTTCAGGACCCCTACATAAACCTTCCTACACTCAAGAACAAGACAAAAATAGCCACAAAAAACTTTTGTGTCCCACAAGAGTGACCAGGGAAGAGTCCCAGCTAACATCAGTTTAGCAGAGCTAGTTTTTAACCTCGCTTCGTGGGGTGACAGCGTGAAGGGGGAGGGAGCTGCAGTAAAAAGAGAAGTGTGAGGATGAGTAATACAGTTAATACATGGTGGGTGAATCAGGTCGCACAGGCTGATTACCGACTGGAGACACGGATGAATGGGCAAACAAGTGTGTTCATCCACAGTTGAGAGAGCTGCAGAGAAGAGGAATAAACTTATTTGTCATACATTATCATCTACATGCATGAACCCATCCCATCAAGTGTCTGTGTGTAAGTGACGGTGGTGGTTTACGTTAATGTGTGGGCTTGTTTCTGTCTTTGTGCTGTCTCACGCATCCTTTTCATCTTTTTATCTAATCATCAAAAATATGTTGAGAGTTTGAAGGGAAAACCTCAGAAGAAATCTTTTCGAGGCAGTCTGTTTGGGAGGTTCGTCATAAGTCATCTTTCAGTTTAGATGAAGTTCTTTTTATATAAGTAATTCAAATAGCAGGCAGAGGACTTATGGATTGTTGTCAGAGTATCTAAAGTCAACAGGGGATTTTAATCTTAAAACATCACTTATAACCAAACGTTATCACCGAAAAGCTAAGAAACCACCAAAAGTGTTCTTAACAGGCTGTAAAGCAGTCAACACATAAGACATTCTCCACTTTAGAGCTGGCTGGTAGCCAAATACTTCTGTTAAAGTGCCCATATTATACTTTTAGTCTTCCCCTTTCCTTTAAAGGGGGCCTATTATGTTTATTTCCCCTTGCTTTTATTCTCGGACTCCACTTGAGTAGCTTTGCATAATTCACAGTTAAAAATAATCAGCATAAATCAGCATAAATGTACCTTATTTTGGGCCTCGTGCAGCCCTACTGTTCACCCACCGTCTTTGAAAAAGTGGTTTTATTACCTCTCCCTTTAATGCCACACATTTCTCTTGGAGCGTTTGCGGTAAACAACACAGAGCCAAGATGATAATATTAAATATAACTGCTCTCGATGATCATGCGGAACCAACAGTAGGAATAAACCTTCTTATCAATGTTCCAAGTAAATATATTTCTAAAGGTGCTATTGGCATGAAATTCTCACCAGATGTCAGTAACAACCCATCCAGTCCACACATGCAAACAAAAAACAAAAAACACAGATGTCCATAAGTTATGTGTAGTAATGGTAAATGACACAGGGTAACAGTATTACTGAAATGTATTTAATACTTCATACAAAAGACTTTATTGGCAATGACAGCCTAAAAACGCCTCCTGTATGGAGAAACTAGTTGCGTGCATTGCTCAGGTGTGATTTTGGCCCGTTCTTCCACACAAACACTTTCTGAGCTTTAGTCATTTCATAGATTTTCAGTGGCATTCAGATGATTGGTCTCCATGTTATTCAGCAAACCCTAAATGATCTTCAGCATGCTTTTTCTTCAGCAATGAAGCCCTGTGTGGTAAGCGTCCATACAGGCCGCGGTGGCTGAGTGCATTACTTATTGTTTTCTTAGAAACAATTGCACCTGCTGATTCAAGGTCCTTGGCTCTTGGATAACTCTTCTGATAATTCTTTTCACTCCAAAAGATGCTCGCGGGTAGCTTGAGTAGATTAGAAATTCTTCTGTAATGCCATTAGTATGTTCTGCAACAATAAAGTTGCGAAGGGCTTGAAAGCGCTCATTAGTCTTACCCATCATGAGATGTTTATTGTGCGAGATCTTTTTATAGGCCACCAGCTGGGACTAAACTAGATTACTTTCTAATTACAGATAGATTTTAGTTGGTTGGATGGGTTGTTAGTGACATCTGGTGATAATTTCATGTCAGCAGCACCTTTAGAAATGTATTTACATAGAACATTGACAGAATGTAGAATAGATAGATAGATAGATAGATAGATAGATAGATAGATAGATAGATAGATAGATAGATAGATAGATAGATAGATAGATAGATAGATAGATAGATAGAT